TGTGCTTATTTTATATATTTGTTTTGTGTTTATTTTTTTAAAATTTTATTTTAAAAAAAACCAAATTTTATGTGTTGTTGTTTGTTTTTGTTTGTGTTTAAATTTTTTTTTGTTGCGTGTTGTGATACCAAATAATAAATAATAATAATATAATAATAAATAATAATAATAATAATAATAATAATTGGAGTTTTTGTTGTTTGTTTGCTGTTGTATTCTATTTTATTGTTTTTTTTTTAAAAATGTTTTTCTCTTTGTGTGCTGTTGTGTTGTAAAATAAATAATAAACAAACAAAATTACGTTTGTGTTGGTGCGTGTTGTGTTTAAAAACATTTTATGATTAATTGTTAATTTTATTGCCTTAGTAATTTAATATATCTTAGTTTATTATACCATCTTTTAAATAAAAATTAATTTTTGTCTTATCTCAGATGATCTGACATGTACATGGCCACATAAATATTATTTGATTAATTTTTGGATTAGACTTGAAATCTTAATGTTTAATGTGGAGACTATAACCAGACATGAGATTTGAGGCTATCATTCTTTTTGCAGAGTTATTTTACATTTACTCTTATTTTTCTTTAGCTTTGTGTAACACACCCTCACTCTACCTAGTCATGCTTGCATATATTACATAAATTTGTCTTGATATGTTGCATCATTTGCAAACCTTGATTCGTCTTGCTTAAGTGCTCTCGCATTGTTTGACCTTTGCTTGTGTGAGTTTACCGAGTCATCCTTTAGTGTAGAACTTCCTGGACCACTTTGTTACCTCCACCTCGCCTTGACATATTGGCCAAGATGTCATTATCTAGGGCCGTAGGTTCATCCCAGGCGAATGTGTATTATCTAGGCTGAGATTACCTTTGCACCTAGTGATCCAGTCCTGGAAGTGGTGTGACCTAGACCAAGGTGTGGCCATCTAGGCCAAGGTGTGGCACAGCTTAGTCAAGTGTTGTCCTTCCTAGCCGGAATCATTGTTCCCCTACTTGCTCGATGTCTTATTAGCCCGAGATCATTACCCGCCGAGTGCCCATGCCATTCTTGCTTGTTGAACACACTTTGTCATAGTCTTGTCTTTTCACTCAGCCACCTTTTTGAGAGAACCAACCCGTAGTGGCCACTGTCCTAGCTGAGTGTTAAGTCAGCCAGCAGACCTAGAAATGTATCATTTGCTATATGTCTTTGTTTGTGAGGAGAGAGAAGCATCTAGAAAAAAGAGGAAGAAGTTTTTAAAGAGGAAAATGGGCTTTCGAACTTGATTCCTAGAATCAAACGTCTAAATTCGCGTATTGAGGTTAGATTCTTAATTACTTTTGTTGTTCCTGTATGTTTATCTAGTTGCATTGCACGATCAAACCTTTTACATGTTATGCATTGGTTAAAGTTGGTTTTAGGAAAAGAGAAGATAGTGTTCATGTGTTTTTTGAAGAAAAAGTTTGTTTGATCGAAGTTTGCCTTAAAGATTCATGTTTTGTGTTTGTTCTCGCAAGATCCTTGAATATGGGTACCCAGGTCCATGTTTTTGAATTCATCAGCATGAAATCTCAGATTTTGTAATAGCAAATTATGATTCTTGCATTCATCTTCCTCATGTTCATGTTCTCATGTTCGACATGTTCTTCAAGAGAGGGAAACCCAGCTTTTCCCGACCTCATTCTTGAATGCGTGCACATCGAGCATACACCTCGCAAGGAGTGGGACCTCGGCGTAGACCTAGTAGTCGCCAGCATGTTTTCCCGAGATGAGAAACAGTGTTTTTTTTTACTTAGCTTGGTTTGAAGGATGCCGATTCATCTGTATGCATGTGAACTTGTTTGAAAGTGCCATCAACAGACTTTGCCATGTGTTTGTAGACTTGGACTTGCCTTGACCCGACGTCTGAAGAACATGTGAGTGGTATTTTTAATAAAGTTATGTTATTAAGCTTTGATAAAGTTTTGCCTTGCTTGTTTTGGAAAAGTATTTTGTGAAGCATGAATGATGATCCCTATTTTGTATATCAAGTATTAGCCTTTTTTGACTGACAATCTTGAAAGTCCGTACGTGCTAGGGACTATAAGCATTTGTAGAATCCCTGAGAAGTCCGTACGTGCTAGGGGATCTATAAGCATTTGTAGCACAACCTTTGTTAATGTTATATCCCTTGGAACTTGAAAGCCTTGAAGACTTAATTGTTGAGACTTGAAAGATTTGTTTAGAGTATAACTAATTGCCTTGGATTTTGTACAAGATGTGAATGTGCCTGATTTGATAAGATTTCGGGATGTCAGTTATGACTCCCTTTTTAGACTTATACTATCACTGAGTAGTCCAAGCTCAACCCTCTATAATACTGGTGAGGGGTGACGAGACGATGGCAGGTTGAGCGCCTAGATAGCTTGCTACCTTGTTTGGATTTGCAAATTTGCCGTTAACTTGAAGATTATGCTCTTAGTTATGTATTTATGTATTTGTATTATGATAGCTGGAGAGAAGGCCATTTTGAGATCAAGAATGTATTGTTTAGTACTTCATTTATTGCTAATTAAACGCTGTGTAAGATTGTATTGCATTCCATTCTCGACTTATCACTGTTGTTATGGACTGATTGTATTTTAGATTATTGTTCCGGCACTTGTAGAGCCCATAGTATTTCAATATAGCTCTGATTGTGTGTGGATTTTGAAAGCTAGCATCACCACCAAGCTACTAGGGCGGTTTGGGTGTCGTAGACATGTATTATGTCTTGTTATAGTCTCATTTATTCTCTCAAATTGTCGAAAATTATTGAAATCATCATTCTTATGACCATGTTTGCGTAACATATCGATCATGCTATTATTTGAGAGATATAAATTTTTGGGTCATCTCTTTTGGTTTAAGCCTTTATATTAATTTTCATATATATTAGATAAATCTGTTTTTCAATACGATCACTTGTTGTGAGCACTATAATAATAAAATAAAAAATAAAAAATAAAAAACTTTTTATTCATTAGCCATTCACTCCCAATGTCTCAAGAAGAATTTATTCGTTGTTGTGGGAGAACTATCTTGTAGACAAAAGAGATTGTCAAATATATATATAATATATATATAAAATATGTTATTACTTCCATGTTAAAAAAAAAAAAATAAAAAAAGAAATGAAAAAAAATGAGTTAAAGGGGGGGGTTAGTAAAATGCGTTCCACCATATGCTATATTTGTTTGATTCATTTCTTAGACCATAGTTTTCAACTACACCCAATTTTTAATAATAATCCCTTTGACCCCATTACAACGAAGAATAAATCCTAATTAATGTTGGAATTAGCATGTTTTCAAATGACAAATTGACATAATTTCATTGTTTTCAGTTTCCTATCACGAGACTTAGTCCTCATTTGGTTTTTTTTGGAGATAAAAGTAGATAAAAAAAAAACAAATAGGCTATATAAGTCCATAATAAACAATGTAGGGATCAGAGGAACCAATCGAACAGGACCCGATCCCGACAAACCGACCCTTAAATTGAGCGGTTATTTCTCGAAAAATACCCTGACGGGCCAAGGACGGCATACATGTTTCAGCCCCGGAACTCAGGACCTGGCCTGGCCCAGGCCCGCCCCGCCCACAATCCCTGCCCTGGTTGCCTTCCGACGTAAAATTACTATTTTGCCCCTG